GTATGTACCCTATGATAATAAATATAAAATAAAACTAAAAAAGATGACAGCATAAATATACTACCCGCAAACTGTCTAGTGAGCAATAGATATAAACACATACATACATATATTGCATAAACTTTGATAGCATATATCATATTTACTTTTTCCAATAAGGCATTCAGAAGATTGTAATGTTTACTCTGTTAGTGAAGATGATTAACCCATTTGTGTTTTTAATTCTTCATTTTCCTGTTATTCTTATTTATGAATCTCTCCATGGAATATAATACATTTGTTAATAAACTTCTCAACATACAAGGCATACTTTCACATTATGAATTTGTTCTGAGAAGTTGAAATGTTTAACACAAAATATTACAAATACTGATATCACAAAAGAGGTTTGGATGTTGTTACTAGTTACTAGTGTTTACCACGAAAAAATAAATAGCATAAACTTTGAAAATGTGTTTTGAATGACAAATACACATGAGATTTATCTTTTACCACATACTTTTTATGATAAGCATTTTTCTTTTTATATTATTTATTCAATTATACTTATTCATTCTTTTATTTTTAGTTTGACATGAGATTGACAATGAGCGAGAAAGAGGGAAAGTGAGAAAGCAAGCTGCCAGGTCTGGGACTTGAACCATGGTCAGCCATGTGGGAATGTCCAGCACCTTAACCACCATGCCACCTGCTATTCTGCAAGATAATCATTTTCAATAGGTTTAACTCTGGATTAGTATTGTTCTGGTCCAGTATTTTTTCCAATATTCTACATTTGCAATGTATAAAAATTTACCTTCCAGGCATACTTCATATATGTGTACAATTGTGTCTTTACCTTGAATGCATATTTAGTTATGTGTTTATAAAGCCACAGTGAGAGAAAAGATATGTCCAAGAAATAAAACTATAAATCATTCATTCATTTGATCTGAGTGTACCTAAAAATATATATAGGTATTGATTAATTTTTCTTTTAATGTCAAATGCAAATTTTGGGAACTCAGTAAAACAATTCTTAATATGAACATTTTAAGCCAGTTTGCATGCTGACCTAAAGATAAAATCAGGAAGTTGGCCAAATCTGTTATCCAAATGGCACTCCTGGCACCAGAAAGGAGTATTTTGAATTCCTAAAAGACCCTTTCCTTAATTGTATAATAAACATGATTCTATAAAAAGTATTAATGTTATTGGAACTCCGTTGCTAAGATGAATTTATTCCAAACTGGTATTTATTATCAAAAATGATTTATGACAAGTGTTCAGTCAAAATGAATGTAGTGAACACTGCAGGAGACATTGTGTTGTAAGACTACACAGAGCCTTCTTTCTTTCATTAACTTTAACTTCTGGTTGCTATGGCACCCGTGACAACCATAACTTTTGGAAATTATTATCATCTGCCCACACCCCTTTCTAAGGTTTCATATAAGCCCACTCAAGCCACCAAAATAACAATTAAAAACTCCATGGCACTTACAAAGTTTTATCTTTGTTATGTTTTTGTGTTTTTTTTTTTTTAATTCTAGAAACTTAAATACACAATAAGAGGACTAGAAAAATCTAGGTTGTTCTTTAAATATAAAAAGGATTTTTTCCACAAGAAAACAGTTATAACTGTTAAAGAAGATTGTTATGGAACTTTGATGCGTAACTGCTGAAAAGAAAAATAAGGGAATGATTATGAACAAATAAGTGAATATCTATAAATTTGTCAAAATTAATAAGCTTTTGTTTCATAGGATCAAGTTAGGCAACTTTGAAGTAAATTTTCATCTCTTTACCCCTTTCAAATGTTTCCATTTGGAATACAGATTAATGTTCACAGAAAGAGTACAACTTAAATGTTAGGTTGTATTTAAGATTTGGGAGCATTTTTGCTTGTTGACTTTTTTTTAATTTGGGGATTTATATGTCTATCTCTTTATTTGTTTTACTGGTTTAAAAACATAAAATTCGAGTATTTTAATGATATTGATATAACTATTGACTCTTGGAAGAAAATTTAAAAATTCAAACTTGGATGTTAAAACTCTTATGGAGGAACCAGCAGATGGCATAATGGCTACATTGCTGGACTCCCACATGACTGACTGTGGTTCAAGTCCCAGACTCTGTGGCTTGAAACTAATGCCAGGCATATGTGTGTTCATGCAGAAAATCCCGAGAGTAAAAGGGAAGGAACTGTAGTTGGCCATCCCCCCAGCAGGTGATTTCTCATTTTCTGCCTCTGTCTCTCCAGGGAGCACACAGGCCCTGTAGCAAAAATTTTCTTAAAAAAAAAAATAAAAAACTAACAGTAATGTCAAACTAATTCACATAAGGCAAAAAATATAGATCTATAACTTTTATCATTACATTTTTGAAAAATATGTAACATACTTGGAACTTCCTTAATCTCAGAAAGAAAAAGAATGACATTTATGTTTTGAAGGAAATAATGGGTTGTCAAGAAAGTTATGACAAATTTTTTAATAGAAAAACATAGAAAAATATGTCATGACTTCCCCAACAACATAATAGCAAATATAAATAAGGTCCTGGGATATAGAAGTCTACATAATCATACCGAATTATATTCCCCCAATACACTAAGGACTTCCTGGAGGAACGATGTTACCCTCCTTGAGAACTATAAGATTTCTTTTAATACCTTAAGGTTTCCTGTTAGTATTTTTAGAAGGTAAATAAGATGTCCCCCTTATATGGAAAAATTATTCTATTTTTCCAAAAATTAAACGTCTAAAAAAATTAAGTTTCTTTCTCTAAAATATATGCATGCATACACACACATATAAAATGTAAAAAGGGAAAATCATATTGAATGTATTAAGATAGCAACATTTATGTGCAACAGTCAAACTTTTGGCAATCACAGATCATTGGATAACTGCCTAAAAGTTGAAAGTACATGAAATAGTAGTGAGATCATAATCCCTGTTCTACAATCATTTTTTCAAGTATACAAAGAAAAGAACTGCCCAAGACCCTCTATCTAATCCAATCACTCTCTTAATGAGCCTCCATTTCCTCATTCTTTTCTAGTGAATGATTGCTTAAGGTCTTTTTCATTAATGAATGGCCTTAATGATGAGTCAAACTGAAAATATCTTCAGTGTCTCTGTTCAGCAAACCAGAAAATGTACAGTTTATTTCAGAATGAGAGCTTTTAAAACCAATATTTTGGGGGCCAGCAGGTGGCATGGTGGTTAAGGCACTAGACTTTACATGGTTGACCACAGTTGGAGTTCTGGACCTGGTGGCTTGAACATAACACTGGACATATATGCATGCATGCCAAGAATTCCAGGAGAATGAAGGAGAAGGGATTGTGACATGGCCATCCCTCCTGAGGGGTAATTTATCACTTTCTCTCTCACTGTCTCTGTCTCCTTTCAGCAAGTGCACGTGCCCTATGTATGACAAAAACCTAAGGAAAATAATGTTTTTCTGCATCTCAATTTCTCATCTGTGTTATTAGCATAAAACTATAAATCTATCTGGGAATTTCAGTTTTTGCTATTAAGAACCTTTTGTGCCATGCTGAAAAATTATTAAATATATAAGATGAACAAACAGCTTAAAATTCAACTCGACTAATGTTTGATAAACAACCACAAAGGTAAATGAAATGTTCAAATTTGTAAAAATAAAAGTAAGTGAGAAACAGTGATTGACTTTGGGGCCAGCAGGTGGTGTGGTAGTTAAGGGTGCTGGACTCCCACATGGCTGACCACGGTTCAGGTTCTGAACCTAGCAGCTTGCTTTCTCACTTCCTCTCTCTCTCTCTTCTCTCCTCCTCTCTCTCTCTCTCTCTCTCTCTCTCTCTCTCTCTCTCTCCCTCTCCCTCTCCCTCTCTCTTTCTCTCTCCCTCTCTCTCTCTGGTCAAATTAATATGAATAAATAAATAAAGTTAAATTAAAAGAAAAGAAACAGTTATTGACTCCAAGAAACTTTACCCAAATATAGAATGTAAAATCAGATTATCCATGAAATATTAGGACATAGAGAAAGGTAAATGTTAAGGATGACAAAGAAAATATCAATATGGAAATTCAGAGGCAGAAAGGAAAACTCCCTTATTTGGCCATGTTATCTTTATTTATCAATTTTGCTACCTGATATGTGTATGCTTATATATCTATCTCTTCGATCAACTTTCCTGAGCGTAAGAATTAATATAAATATTGTAGGTTATACAATAACATCACCTTACCCATTTGAATTTACTTATGAATCTGGCCAATTTCCT